CTCCGTAGACATTTAAAAATAGAGACCTCTAATGTACCTTCCTCTCCTATGTCTTCCTCCCAGGTCTGAGCTGTTCCCTCCCTAGATGTTCAAGTGGCTCCCCCTCCATTGTCATAAAATCTTTGTGTCCCATTGGGAAAAAAGCCAAACCCTCACTGCCATCAAGTTGATGCAGATTCATAGCGACCCTACAGGGTAAGGAGAACTTGCTTTGTGGGTTTCCGAGACTGACTCTTTACGGGGAGTAGGAAACCCTGCCTTTCTTCCTGTTCTAGTAGCGATAATTCAATCTCTGCCCCCCGCCCCCAAGTCATCCTCTCTTTATTAGTTACTTAGTGCTGCCAGAACCGAAATGGTTTAGCAAACAGATAGTTATCTTCTCATAGTCTAGGAGGCTGGAAGTCTACATTCAGGATGCTAGCTCAAGGGGAAGTTTTATTTTCCTCTCTGCTGGCTCTCAGTTTAGGGGGAACTTCCGGGTCTCCTTTCTGCCTCTCCAGGTGCAGCATTCCTTGGGGATCTCCATGTGTCTTAGCGTCACTCTGTCACTCTTCCCCCAGATCCGAGGAGGTTCCCCGAAGGACATGCTATATCCTTGGAGTCTTATTTCTTGGTGGTAGGAGGGCCTCCTCCACACGGTCCGTTCTCCCTCCTCTCTCCTCCTTTTATCTTGCGTAAGAAACATGGTGGCGCAGGCCACAGCCCAGGGAAACTCCTGGAGGATTAAGGCTGGGATGTGATTAAGGGTGTTGTATCCTACTCCTAATCCTTTTACAACCGATTGGTTTATTGCATCAGATCATAACATAAGAGATCATTACATAATCCAGTCACTCTGCTTGCAACCAGATTTCTTGGTCTGGAAAGGTCAGGTGTAAGATGGACAAGATATTTTTTTATAAAACTTTGCAGAAAGTATTATATACCCCACTTTGGCCTCCATAGACAATTACAGGAAGACTCAGCAAAGGGGTGCTCAAACAAGACCCTCTTGCTTTATGACAGATACAGAGCGCTGTCAGTCTTAACGAGAGAACACGAGCGCTCAGTCAGTGTTTCAGATGCACCAGCCATGCCGGCCACCCAGAGCGAGGGTGGACTTGTTAGGCTACCTGCGGTTGTTGGTAGGGAATGAAAAAAGCCTTAGGTCCCAAATGGTCAGAGCCTAATCCTGAAATACGGGTGAAAAGCTTCACGCTTACGTTATTTTGCCTTCCCTCCCTCCCCCGCTATGCTTTTAGTTTACAGATTGTTTAAAAAATATTAATTTATGTCATTGATTTTAACAGATTCTCTTTTATCAGTTGCTGTTTTTCTGAATCTTGTTTAATAAATTCTATTCTCTAGTCTTCAAAAAAGTTTACTAATTTTTTACCTTTTACTTCTAAGGCTCGAATTGCTGGTATTTAGCTTTATATATGATGTGAGCTTGTGATGCATATTTAATTTCTGAGCATCTTTTTTATGATTCATAGCAACAACTCTATCTAAATCGTATATGTTTTTGTTTGTTTCTGTACTCTTAATTTCATTGCCTACTGGTTGCTACAAGCTCAGTTACTAACGTTTTGTAAGACTTCTAGCAACCAGATTGAGGCAGCAGCCATCCAGCCTTGTTCTGCTTCAAGATTGTCTGTGATGGTTGGCCTTTGGGTGTTGCTTACATTTTACAATTTGCCTGTCAGGTTACGGGAGAAAGATGAGGCCTTCTACCGCCATAAAGATTCACAGCCGTGGAAACCCAAAGGGGTAGTTCCACCTGTCCCGCTGTGAGTCAGAACTGACTTGATGGTGGTGGGCCATTTGTCTTAGTTGTTGTCAGGTTCCGCACATACATACCCTTATGATTTTGATTGGAATTACATTGAATCTGCAATCAATTTGGAGAAAATCCCATCTTTACAATATTGACTCTTCCACAGGTCTGTCTCCCCTGTTTAGTCATACTTCTTTTCGTAAGGCATCTCCCTTTCAAATTCAACACACCAGTACTGAATGTGGAACCCTCACCACTCCCTCACACGATACACAAAAATTAATTTGCGATGGACTCCTAGACTTAAAAATCGTAAAACCAGGAGAATACCTTTGTGACCATAGTATAGGAAAAGATTTCTTAGGACAAAGGAAGCATGAATCATTAAAGTCAAAGGCTTGATAATTATTTATTGGACTTCATCAGAAATTTAAGACTTTTCACCAAAAGGGAGGCCTAGGGGTGAAATGCCCACCAGGTAACTGAAAGGTTGGTGGTCCTCCTTGGGAGAAGATGTGACGTTCTGTTGCTTTAAAGATGTACAGCCTTGGAAACCCTGTGGCCAAGTGTCCTCAGCGCCGTAAGGCTGCCATGATCGGTCGTCGTGGGTTTGGTTTAGGGTTAGTCATCCAATGACATCACCCAGAAAATAGGCCACAACCGTATGTGCAGTGCCTGTATCTAGTGACAAAGACGAGAAAAAGCCATTTTAAAATGGGCAAATATCTTGAATAGCTACTTTACACATGATTATTTTAACTGACCAGTAAACACCAG